GGAGGTGGGAGTGGCGAGCGAGTGGGCAGATTCTCCGCAAGTCTGCTTTAACACCTGTTTCGTTCGCAGTAGTTCGCTGCGTTGCATCTGCTTGCTGTAGCCTTCGTGTTGCTTGCCCAGCTCGCCTCTGTGTCTGTTGCGGCTTGCTTTAGCGCTTGCTGCGGCTTGTTGGAGCGCGTGGTGCCCATCGTTGAGATCGACGGGGGAGCTATCAGGATGGCTTACTGCGGACTGAGAGTCAGGCTCAATGAATCCTTCTTAATGTGGCCTTTATGGCGCTCCTAAACGAGAGCCTATCTAGCGAGGTGTGCTGTTGGTACGCGTGTTGAGTGTTGGTCGCGCCAGCCGCCTGCGCCCTCCCCAACCTCTGGTCTTCTTGGCTTTTGTCCTGAATCCAGATCCCGGTGTGGGAATACTGAGGGAGTGGGGTGGATCTGGCGAGTCCACTTTCACTATAATTCAGCTTTAGTCACCGCAACTGCCTTCAAATTGATGAAGCTCGTGGTGGACATAGTCGAGAGTGACGGTCGAAAGGTAGGTGAGTGTCCACGTAGGAGATCTCTGATGTGCTGTCCCTGAGAGGCTAAAAGTATCCCACTTTAGGTTCTACTTTAGGTTGACGATTCGATTTATTCTACGGGCAGGCGCTCAGCCGTCTGAACGCAAGCACCACCGTTTTAGTCGTGCATATAGCCGCCTCTCCTGATGATTGCGCAGTATGGGATGGTGTAATGTTTGCAAACAGTAAATAGTTATTATTTTCGGTCCCCAAAGCGTCTTGATTAGTCCCAATACTTTCAGGTTTTCAACTCACACACTATTTCTATAATCACATTTATGAAGATTCAGCCAATGGCTGCGAACATGCTGGTTTGAAATGAGTCCAAGTAGGATGTCACAATCCGAAAAGCCAAAACAAAAGTATGGCTTGTGGATTTTAAGCGGGGGGGGAAGCACCATATTACGTTACCTATGGCGGCTTATTACAGCAGTGAGCGTCTTACGTGTGTAACTGGGTCGGCTTCCATGCTAATACATGGCCAGGTCAGAATAATAATCAGCTGTTTGGCAAGCTCAGCTTGTAGACTGGAAAACAGCAGGGGGGAGAGGGAGGCCGACAACACTGAGAGAAGGAGAGAGAGCCATTCACACGGCCAAGCAGCGCATTCTTCTAGACGAGAAGTCTTCAAGAAGACAAGGT